TTTTTTTTTTAACAAGAGGTGTATTGATGGCGAATTTCGCGAATTTGGCTGACATGCACTAGTGCGCTCTAGTGCCACAGGCGAAAAGACTGTCCTTCGAAAAAGAATAGAGTCGCTCGGATCGCTTGTCTATGGCGTATGGACATCATCGCTTGTCAATGTTTCAACATGGCGGACTCAAACGAGAAGTTGCTGGCGGAACTCCTAAAAAAACCTGGGAACAACGTGTGTGCGGACTGCGGGGCCAAGAGTGAGTGCGTTCCGCAGAAAGAATTCCGTTTTCCATGGCCATAGTGAGCGTGCGAAACGTATTTGGTCGTGATGTGTACAATTTAATGTCCAAACAATTGTCGCGCAACAATTCCGCGACGTCTAGATGTTTGTTTTTATCCTAATATTAAATGTTATTGCGATTACATAATATAGAGCTGAAGTTGATCATGGCTCGCGACGTCTGATATTTGATATTGCACAGCGTCACGTGCTCCGTCAACTTAAATGCATTTAAATGCATCTCTTGTACGATATTAGTTTGATGTCAAAGTGATAGCACTTGCTTTAGTTATTCTAGATAGACAATATTTCTTTTTTTTTTTGCGTACAATGTTAGAACGTCACGTTTCTTTACATACATTGCATTATGTATATCGTTATTTATTATCATTATATTTCAGATCCAGAATGGGCATCTTACAACATAGGTATATTTGTTTGCACAAGGTGCGCCGGTGTACACAGATCTATGGGAGCACATATTTCGAAAGTAAAACATTTAAAGTTAGACAGATGGGAGGATTCCCAAGTAAATAGAGTACGTGAAGTAGGTAATGCTGCAGCTAGATTGCATTACGAAGAGAGAGTACCCTCTTGTTATCGTAAACCAAGTCCAGATGCTCCACAGTAAGTTATCAAGTGTTTATGTGGTTTTCCTGTTTCAATCGTTATCCGATAACACTTTGTATTTGTGATAAGTTATATAATAGTGGTAGATTATAATTGTGTGTTAATTTCTATCCTTGTTAAAATATTTTTTCAGCATTATAAAGTGTTTGCACTATTAAAAACTAATCTCTAAAAATTATAAGAGTTTTAGTCGAACAATGGATAAGAGCAAAATATGAGAGAGAGGAATTCTGTCATCCTGAAAGACAAAATCACTATGTATCAGGATTCATGGAAGGATTTTTAATGAAACGCGGAAAGGAAGATTCGCGTTACCATCCTCGAAAGTTTGTACTCTGCGAGGCGGATGACACACTCAAGTATCACGTTAAAGAGAATAAGGTAATTTAATTCATATAATTATTCTTTGAGCTAGAGATGTAAATACTTAAGTAACATGTCTCGTTACTTATTTAAAACATGTTTTAAGGAACCCAAAGCTGTTTTAAGGATATCGGAATTAAATGTGGCGTTTGCACCACCTAAAACTGGCAACCAGAACAGTCTTCAGCTGTCCTTTATGAAGGACGGCTCAACAAGACATATCTACGTGTATCACGAAGACCCAGAGGTGATCACAAATTGGTATCTCGCGATCAGATGCGCAAAACTGCACCGCTTACAAGTGGCGTATCCGGGCGCGAGTGAAAACGAGCTGCTGTGTCAGCTCACGCGGGACTTTCTGCGCGAAGGCTTTCTATGGAAAACCGGTCCCAGGCATACAGATGCTTATAAAAAAAGATGGTTTACCTTGGATGGCAGAAAACTCATGTATCACGATGATCCTATGGTTTGTATATTTTAATTTTTAATTTTTACATTGCATTATAATCAACTCAATCAATGTATATTATCTTTATCATTTCAGGATGCGCATCCAAAGGGTGAAATCTTTTTAGGACACAGTTCCGAAGGTTTCGCCGTAAAGACGGGTGTACCACCGGGTGCTCGAGATCAAGGATTTTCGTTTACTCTCGAAACACCCGATAGAATTTACCTGCTCTCTGCGCAAAGTGACGACGATAGGTCGCAATGGATTAACGTGATTCAAAAAGTAATCGATAAGCCTCTAACACCACAAGACGCAACCGGTAAGCGATATATATATATAACATATATATATAACATATTATATATATAACATATATATAAGTCTTATCGCAGAAGAGAGTTTTTGTACATGTTAATTTTCGTTTGCAGTAGCGGCGAGACTTGTAAGAAAGCGCACAGCCAGTGGAACAATGAATATATTTTCGTCGACAAGATAGGGCTGGATTCCTCTTAGACGACTTTCTTAATTGTTCATTGGTAATCGTACGATTGATTCGTATTATCGAAATAGACAAATATGTGGCTCAACGCACACGTGAAAGAGCACTTACGGCTCTCGGCTATTTACTCGTCTTGCTGCTGTTGAGCCATATATTTATTCGTAATCTGCGCACGGTACCGTAGTTTACATAGAGACATACGCATAAGACTGCTCGAAGAAGTTGAACGCGGTTAAAATGCAAGCACCAATTGCTTCTCGATAACACTCTTGTGTTAAAGACAAAGCTTGTATCGCTTACTGTCAAATCGAGTAGGCAGACAGTATTGTAAGGATATTACAAGGAATTTTTACTTAGCAATAATATTGCATGTGATACTTGTCCCTGACCGAACACCGAGAAAAGAAAATTTCTAAAAGTTTGATTTAACTTTCTATACAGAGAACAATTTATCAAAAACGGTAAAATAGATTAACAAAATTTATGGATCATCGAATGATGATTTGCAGTATTTTTGTTTCCATTTTTTCGTATCTATTTCTTAGTTTTAACTGGTTTGTTCAAATTTCCACGATCGATATAAGGCCGCAAGTGATAATACACTCTGTACATAAACAATAAATTTTGAGGGCCTATTTTCATTCTTATTATTTCTTCGAAAAAAGAATAAATAAGAATATATATGTTTAGTCCTGCAACAATACGCTATTCTCGCGACCACAACTATATTTGGATACCAAACAATGAATTGTTTACACATGTGCCAATTATGCATTAAATATTATTCTGATATTTCTTGGAATGTTTTATTGATGGCGACAATAATGCTATCAAGTCAAAATCGAGAAACATATTACAAATGTTTTATCATTAATTATATTTATTTAACGAATTTCACGTATTTATTCAAATATTTAAAATATTAATATGTGTACATAATATCAAATTTCAGTGATTTATTTTCTTGTGTTCAACAGTAGGCACGTTTTTTAAGTAACATAGAATATTGACCCAGCAGAAGGAAGCAACACTGACATATGTCACTCGTAAATACGCCGGAATTAGCATAAAATTTATAAATTGCACTGGCAGCCAATATCCGCACGAAGTCTGAAAGAAATTAACAATTATACAGGGTGCTCATAAAATAATTTTCGCATTCGAAGATAAAAAACAAACCTGGAAGGTACGCAGAAACTTAATTCTACATTCTCTAAGGATATCCGATTTAGCTTCCATCAAACTCATACCTGCAAGATTTAGAAAACGGATTATACTGCATGGCGTAAAAATTAACTGAACTCTGCATGAAGCGCACAAGAATACGAACTGATAAAAAACAGCATAATCAACGGCGGTGTGAAGATAAATTGGTCCGCGAAGAGTTTCGTCAGCACGATTTTCATGGATTTTCCACTGTAAAACGCGTCAAGCCACTTGTACCTGCCATTAACGTCTCTATTAATTTATAAATTCATTACGAAGTCAAATAGACACTTTATATCAATTTAATGGAATACCATCTATGTAAAATCGGTCCTGCTAAGAGACAGCCGAAGATTGCATATCTTTTCAATTGCGGGAAATTATAATTCGTCGATTGCACCGAATCTTCATTCACAAGATCCAACGTTTGACAAAGTCTTTGTATCTGAATTAATATCGGTCCCTTGGTATCGGCGGAGTTTTTCGGTTCTTCGATAATCTGTATTGGCTGTATTTGCAAGATAACAAATCAGTATAAACAATACCCAAGAAACATGTTTGCGCGCAAGAATACGGATGGAAATTTCACCTTGGACATTTTGCTGAAGCTCTGTCGAATAAACTCAGCACTCGTGTAAAAAGAACCGTACACCACCGAATTGAATAGCAACGGCCTCTTCTGCATAATGTCTTTTATTATTCGCAAAACTTTCATTGAAGACATGTCTCGTTTTATATTATCACAATAACTGTTATCACTTCCTTCACGTTTCGATGCGCTATCAGGTGAGATAAATACTACTGGGTCTGCAGCCGACTGGCTGAAAGGCCAGTGAGGTCAGAAAGCTAAATGGATGATGCTACTTTGAAGGGTGACGCTGACACTGACGTGTGGAGACCACTCATGATACCGAGCATTTAAATGCAATCATCTTCAATCACCGCTCAACTGTGTCAATTGTGTTGCATCAACAAGCAAAGCATCCCGATATCACGAATTGCTCTTATAATGTACATTGTGATGAAAGAAGAAACAAACACATTGAGAGAGAAAGAGAGCTTTATATTTTATATTATAAAAATAATGTCATATTTTCTGCAGTGATGTTGCATAATGTGAAAATTAGTGGTTCATTGTAATACAGTCAATTTGAATCAGACGTAATGGATTGTAATTTGGAATGTAACCAGTTCATCCAATCAGAAGATACTTCTTTCTCGAGTGTGACTTCCTGGAAGACTTCGCTTTTTCCTACCTAAATTATAATTTTGCGTATGCAGTTATTATCTTTCTTCAAAAGAGCAAATTAGCAAATATTTTGCAACATACCTCTTGAAAGCCAAGCTTCTCAAATATCTTGATGCTTATTGCATTGTCTGTTTTGATCTTCGCACGAAGCTTATTGATATTCAACATTTCAATGCCTATTCAAAAATAAATCAAAATTAGCATAACGAAAGGAATGTTAAGATTAATAGCTGTTATTACAGTTAAATCACCATAACACATCATAAGAATAACAGACTCCCAGCCTCTTTTCTTGCCTCGACTAGCCTCATCAGCTATCATAATCTCAACTTCAGCGATGCACGATTCTTGTGGCTCGTTAAGAAATAAATTTGTGTCTCCTATCATGGCATCTGAAATGAATTATACATAGAAGACCTGAATAGCTACTGTAGCATCAGCACAACCTGACATACCTACTTCACTTTCAGTAGACACAAAGATGTGTTTATCCAAGATAATAAAAGTGCATTCTGCAATGTTAAACAGCACGAAGCTAAACTATTTCGTATGATATGGACAACATTGACAAGAAACTAACGGATAATTACTATCTTTGTCCTCAAGCCATCGTTTTTGCATCTCAAATTCTTGCTCCAGCGTTAACGGTTCAGAACCAGTTAGATACTGCAACGTAGGATTCTTCATCCACTCGTGATACCTAAAATGATTTCACATTAATAAAATCAATTAAATATAAAAGAAAGAAAACATATAGGTAATATAAAAATACAAACTTTGTTACGTGCTTTTCTTGATACGGCACCAAAATCACATTTGTCCCATTTATACGAGTGTTCATATTCGTCCTCATGATTATTAATAACGATTAGATAGAAATTAATTTATTTTTGTGCTTTGATATATACTGCAATATACTGCAATAAAAAATTATACTCTTGTTTTATAAACTTATATATTTGTTGTGTTTATCTAAAAAACAAAATCCTTGGCAACTTTTGCACTAATTGTTCAATACTTTTATGCATTTATGTTTTAAATCTGCATTTAGATTGTTCGCAACAGTTTCTCTTATATATTTACAAGAAAATAGAGGCTATGTTTTGAGAAACCAGATGAATAATATACTGGTTTACGTTCAATGTATGATCAATCTTCCTAGATTTGTCCAGAGAAGTCGAGATTTTGGACAAGTTTCATAACGTAACTATGGCGAACTAGTTGCACTTCCTATACGTCAATACGATGAAAAGTTTCTTTATCGACATAAAGTAATAGATGAAGCAGTAACTCTTTTCTTGTTTCATTCATAGATAACGCCACAAGCATCGAATAACCGCAAGACTGCAGCTTGCCGACCTGCGGCTAGTAGGCGCACCTGTCTGTCACCGCGCCGCTGACTGTCAATCCGACTGACGTTGGCGCACACGGCGCTCGGAAGGACTCATCGCGTTCGCGCTGTTTATCTGTCATAGCGGTAACGACGAAGAAGGGACGCTCGCGTGCGTGAGACACGAGAAGCTATACGGACGTGTGGTGACACGAGACGGTGATTGGGAAACGTTGGACGGATTCGGCTACGACGCCGGTGAGTTGTCATCCCGTAATTTCTTCGCCGTGTCGTCGTCGGCCCGCGAAAGCCAGCCGCGCGGGAGAAAGAGCGCGCGCAGCTACACGCACGCCGCATGGACGCGTTACCTCGTCTTTGACGCGAGGATTCTTCGCGTCGCGCGGCACGTGTTCGCATTTTTCACGAGCGCGTCCTGGAAACGTGCGTTTTCGGTCTTGCGGCCGGCATTTCGACGTGATCACGACGACGCGGCTTGCTCACTTTAGCTTCGAAGTATCAGTTGACTTTTGACCGATTAATTCTGCGTTTGACAGCTCTCTCTCTCTTCCCCTCTCTTTCTGTCGGACGGTTGTAAACAACGACCGACCGTGTGCAACTCGGCCCCGGATCGCCCAATACAGCCGAGACGTAAAATGGACCATCGTATGGGTGAGTGATCGCGTCTAAGACGCTTCTCTTATATGTAGCATATTAATATAGTACACCGCGCGCGCCGACCGGCCATCACGGCGTTGGACGCCAGAGCCACGCGCGAGAACGAGCCAATGCCATGGCGCGCGAGGCACGTGGTGTACCGCGCGGGCTTCCTACATTGCGGCTCTGCCGACCGGCCCCGGCGGTCTACGGGGCTCACCCGGCTTGCCGCAAGGAGTTCGTTCGACATTGTATACCGCCAACTGTCATATTTCGCTCTTTTGTCAGCGTGCCGGTTCGGCGAGAGACTCATGCTCTTGCTCATGCAGCGTTCAGCGTACGCGCGCGCACGCTCGCACACACGTTTTGTCTCATCATGTTCCCGTATGTATAGATTTTTTTAGTTTTTCGTTTTTGCATTTTTCGGGGATCTCTGGTGTCGTCGAGGTATTCGGCTCGACAATTATCTCACGCGAGTTATCTCGTCCGATTTCGTCGCTGCGCGGGAAGCACATGTTTGTAAACGTTGCGAAAAAAGTATGTGCGACGCAGGGATTAACTCGTAAATATAGGACACATTTCTGCATGTCTCTTAGTTGCTATTTTTGCGCAGCGTTTTTTTAAGGATATATAAAATGAAATATGCATTTTAGGAAGGCAAGGCTGTTTTTTTTCTCGCAGCATATTATGCAAGAAATTATTTTTTTGCGAATATTAAATGTGAAGTCAAAGTAGTCGCTTCTACCTGTTTGACAGTTAATTTTCTTAGAGAAGAATGTAAGAAAAAAAATTATAGATTTATAGAACGTGCAATTAAATTTAATTTTGGAATATATATAAATTAACTCAAGCAATTAAAAGTATCTATATATTAAAGTTAAATATATATATATTTTTTTAATTACTTTAAATCATGAAAATAATTCGTGAATATTCGCACTATAAATGTCGTTTATTTATTTGCAATCATTTAAAGAAACCAATTTAAAGAAAAGTTTTAAAAGAGAACCCTTTGTAAAAAACTTCGCACGTCATAAAAGACAACCTGCGGGATGAAATATCTTCAGGTAAAGCGCTTCTCGCCTGGTCTTCTAACCATAAAGCTATAAAAGAAAGAGAGGAAGGGAAAGATTCACCGAGATAGACCGTACTTCCGGTGGAACAGAACATTATACCTGTCTAAGCCCGTGCAGAAAATCACTTTCGTTTGATTGAAGAAACATTTCGATTTCTTTTATCAAAATTCGACATACTTTTGTTTATACATCTCAATAATTTTACAAATTTATTTTCGAGATTTGAAAATATATAAATGAGAGGCGAATCTATTACTATCATTTTGTTTACACTTGTCATATTAATAGTTGGCCAAAAATATTGATGATGAATTATAATTTCACAGTTATTTATAACGAAAAAAGTCTTAGAACGATGAAAATGAATTTTTGAAACAAGAATTAAACAATAAGAAACAATAAGTATTTATGTGCAAATTACTTTGCATACCTTTTGTAAAAAAACATTACAAGAACAATTTTCAGAAACAAAGATCCGTCAGATGCAGTAATAGCACTCTCGTTCCCGTTCAATTATTGGAGAATTATTCATTTAGATATTATCGAGGAAAAAACATCTTCGTCTTTCTGGTGAACGGTATGCATAGGCGATAACGATGAGTCGCCGCGACAAATTACCATTACAATGCAATTGGGTCGTTTTCGCTTATGCATTCGTTTCGTGTTCGCTTTTATATCTGATTCTATTCACGTCGAGACGCAAACGCGTCTCTCTGCGTCTATCAGGTTTACTTAGCTTTTAACCAGACACATACACATTCTATATTTTCCGGAAATTAGACGTTTAATTCTTTCGATATCGTCTTCGTAACTCAACAGATCTGTACGAAAGCTGCACTTTGCGCTTTTCACGTTCGAAAAGAAGCAGGCGTGTATTTAAGTGAAAAATTAACTACGTGTCTTAAAGTGAAAAATTAAGTCTTACGTGAAAAATGAAGTAGGAAAAAAGCGTGGACAGTAATACTTAGAACAAATTAACATAATATTTTTATCATACATCATTTCTTAAATTATGTTTCATCAAGATATCTTTTCCTTATCTGTCGATAATTTCAAATTTTTTTCTAATCAGTACATCTACAAAATATCTTATTTCTCATCAAAATACTGAATACAATCTATTTCGAAATATTAAAAACACACTTTTTAAGCAGTCTGATCTATTTAAATAGTTCCACAACGAAAATGTTTAGTTTATCTCTTCGGAAATCTCTTATCAAAATTTCATTTTATTTCATCTCTTATAAATGGAATTTATATAAATATATATCAATGTACACTATAAACTTAGTTTTCGCAGAAATGTGAAACGCGTAGACATTTCTTATGTCTTCAATTTCACTCTGACAAAATTGAAGGTGCAATTTGAGGAAGAAATTAAACGCGCGCGATCAAATTTTCGGATGGAACGTTGAAATTAGGAGCGAGAGAGAAAGGAGGACGGTAACTCGGAGGAATCTGGTCCGAGTTATAGTCCAAGATTAGCAAGTCCGTAAGTGGGTCGCACGTATGCGTGTTATCTAGCCCCTGGTCATTGGCCAGTAGCGCGAATACATCGCGAAAGGAAGGCGACGGAAGATTGCGTAACGCCGCGCGCGCAATAACATAATTGTTATCGAAAAAACTGACTTATGCGGCGTGCAAGTTGCGCGAGTGCAACTCCGCTTCGCGCCCATTTTCACTCTCCGTATCTCCGCGCGCGTGTCATTTCGCTCGTCCGCACATGCTTCATCACTAGGCGTCATTAAATGCTTCATTTTTGACCTTAGAATTTTTATTTTGAGTTTAGCTTTAAGTTTTTTAATTAACTTTTTGATCAACGGATGAGCAATTTGGCGAGATCTGAATTTTTTAAGGAGGAGGATTTTGCCTATGCTTGTACACGGAATAATATGTAAACTTTGATATTAAGTTTCTTAAAAAGACGATTCGATTAAATTGAAATTTAAATATGTATGTAAATGATGACTAAGCAAATATTTGATGAAAGTTTTAAATAAGTCTCACCATATCATTTTATCTAGCGAATCCTTCATAATTAATACTCAAAATATGCAAATATCCGAGTAATAGAACCGGGAATATCTCACCGGAAATGTAAGACATTTATGACGCTTGTCCGCGTTTGTTTGCGTTCGTTGCACGTACACACAGCGTTTGTACGCGTACTTCTTGTTTTGTACCGCATGCGTATCGGTCGACACTCGCCCTCGTTAATCCACGGTTCGAGTCGCTGCACGTGCCTCCCTTTCGTACGCGCGCGTTCGTCGCTTTAGCGATTCGATTCGCCGCAACTCGCACGGTGTGATATCTCGTCGTTTCCCATGGATTTGCGATATTATCCCAGTCGCGCGGGGACCTTGAGCGGCCGCCGCTGTATCCTCCGGCGCGACGCAACGGCGTGATAAGACACACGCCGACTGTCAGAGCGCGAGGCCGCGAACGGCGCTATCGGTGATTATGTAACATCTTACGATGAGGCCGCACTCCTCTCGGGTACTTTCAGCGCGTTCCGTATCCCTCATTCCCGAGGAGTCTGCGTCGCGCGGAACAGCGGCGTGACTAGACAATCGCGAACCTTGAGACACACTCCGAACGTTCTCGCAAATTGTAGTCGAGAATTTAGACGGGGAAAAAAGGTACAAACAGATATACAGATTGCAGAACGATCAATACAATTGTTGTTTATCGTTGAAATACGCACAAATCTCTCATAGATGCGCGATTTTGTAAGCCGCGTGTGTTTGGAATCTATTGATGAATTTTTATATTCTATTTAAGAATTTATTTTGCTTTGTTTTATATTTGTGTAATCCACTTGTAAATTTTTATTTCGTATTTTTATCTCTCTCTTTACAACAACCGATTTAATTTATTACCAAATGTATAATGCATCGCAATCGCGCGAGGAATGCTTAATTGTACGAGCGGAAATTGCTTCGAAATCGTAGAAGATATGAATTTTTGCAAATCCATGCGGGACTTTGCGTCAATCTTTCTCTAATGTATTAATGTATAAGACCTTATCGCCATCCATCGTGCACTAATGAGCACGCTCGAGTTTCTCAATGAACGGCAGCGGAACTACTGTGACAGCTATTGTCATCGGGTCATTAAAAGTCAACGTC